CACCTGTGCCTAAATTAAGACTATAAACCATATTTAAATGCACAGAGATATTGGGTTTTCAGACTTTATCCATCGTCCTGGTTTTTAAGGTAACTAATAAAAACACGATGTTTCAGAAACTGGATCTGTTTCTGTCCTCAGGTGAGGGAAAAAATACCTATTCTGTTGGGTCCCTTAGAAAGAGCTAGCCTCAATCCAGTGTGTGTTATACACCATCGTCAGAATCCTATAGTAACTACATATTTAAATGGTCAAAAGGGCATGATAACCTGGAAAAGACAGATTCAGACTTGCAGAACATTCACTATATCCCCAAATCAGGCTTTCCTATGCTCATTTTATACATCTTGAGGCTGAATGAGTGTAAAGTACAATGATACAGAATTTATAATAAACAGGATGACAGAGTAATACAGATTGGTGGTAGAACAAAATACTACTGAATAAAAGTACAATGGAAATTAAAAATTTCTCTTATTTGCTTACTGGCATAATTTTATGATGTTTCCATAACAAAGTATTTGTGTATACAGTAACAGACACAATTTTTTACATTCATATGCTACAGGTTCCTCTTCTATTTATAAGTATGGTAGGTTCTGCAATACTGAATGATAAATGGTAATGAGGACACCTATATTTTTCTCTGATAATTATTATCAAAACAAAAGAAAACTCCCCTCTTCATTCCCACTTATCATTTCACAGCACACACACACAACTCATAAACGGAAAAACCTATATCTCATAAACACGAAAATTATGTGTGCCAGCTACTTATATACCATCTACTTCATTGATAAAATTGAACATTCTGCTTATTGTATATGATCTTACTTTCTGTTAATTCATATTTCTGGGAGTGTACTCAGTGTATGCATTTCAGAAAACTGAATACATATCATGGGTATTTCTATATATTTTTTATCACATACAGTATTTATCATCATCGCATTAAAGCTACATCCTAGTTCTGAAGATGAAAGAGTCCAAGAATGATATCATATGTGTATTTTACTGACTTATTCTCCAATTCCAGTGATGGAAGCTCAAAATTATTATTACTAATCTGTTGTACAATTGTCTAAACAATATGTGTAAGGAAAGAAATTAAATAATATAATTTTGATCATTAAGATTAATTCAAATTTAACAGTAAGTACTACAGTGCTTCTATAAAATTTAGAAAGTAAAACTGTATGAAAAACACAGGAAAACTCATCTGACCTGCAATAATTTATTTACAATTTTCTCAGTAAAATGACTATAGCAAACAAAACAGAATTTGCATTATTTAGCAGAGGGTTCTCTCTATATTCTATTAAGAATTTAAATAAGTGTGTACTTTATTCATTAACACTTTGCAATTCAGCATCCAAGCCTCAAATTAACATCACTGCTGTTTTGTTATGACTACTCGGGACTCCAGAAACACACTTGCCCGCTAACTCGTGAATTAATGACGAGCTATGATAAAAGTATGTGTATGAAGTACACTGCAATAGTATGAGTGGATATTGTAAAGTGCCTAATAGATTTAAGTTGTATTTCTGGAGCCACCTATTACTAATAGCACTGGCAGTGGAGGTGGTAGATCAAAGTGCAGACACTAAGTGACTTCCCTACCATTCGTGTGAAAGGAACCTCTTTACACTAATGGAGAAGTTCCTTAAGAGTGGCATCTCCATTAGCCGCCATGTGTGCATACACACACACATAAATGTATATAAAAAGTACATAAATTTAAAGATTAATACCATGTTACAAATCATCTTATAACCAATAAGATGGGGAGACCAAAACACATATATAGTTCATCACATGCACGTTTCAGCATGTCTTAATCTAATTAATATTTAGCCATATATGCATATACAGGAAGGATCTGTAAGCCCAGGATGGTATAATTTTGTAATCATCATGATGCATCTCTGTTATATAACAAGGACATATTTAATAAGCTACGTAAGTGCATAAGGCTGACTTGTACCACTGAGTCAGTGAAGGCCATTGCACAATGGCAGCACAGCCACCAATTACTCTAAGCTTATAAGAATTCCCTTAAAAATCTCTTGATGGGTCACATTACTGGAAGACTGATGGTCAGATGTTTCACAGTATGCCAGATATAAAGAATACAAGTTAACCAATAAGTAATATCAGTTTTCCATAAAACATTCAATAAACTGTAACCAATATTCTTGTCAGTTGGACGGTGCTATTCTCTGGACATATTCTAAGAGGAGAATGAATAAAATTACTTAAAAATTAAATGCTTTTATGAAGATGCTGAATTAAAAACTGTTTTCAAAACTTGTTTGCTGAGTTTTCCAAAATTTCAGACAGATATATCTGTGAAGAAAAGGATGTGATAAAAATCAAATACACTGGTATTATGAGCCTGTTTCTGAAATATCTATGTCAATTTGTTAATTTGTTTCATCACGTTTCAATCACTGCTCAATAAATTGATACAAAAATTGAAAATTAATTCATTAAATTCGATTTGTCAAACTGTGTTTAATAATAGGCTGCAAATGTAAAAAAAAAAAACATAAATTGTTAACTTTAAATACATCAAATATATTTCTCACACACAGGAAAATAAATTGGTATGGCTGTTACCAGTTAAACTTTACAGTTAAATTAATGTCATTCATTTATGCTGGGATAATAAACATGATACCATGGATCATTAATATAGTTTCCTGGGGATAAAGGGCGGCCAGCGCATAGAAGGAGAAAGCTCTAGATCGCATCAAGTGGAGGAACTGTTTTGGAAGAGACTGTGGATCTGTCGTCTGACAGATTACTGATGAATGAATGAATATTGATATGGCATCAAGTAGAAGCAGAGAAAATTATTTAGACTTGACATCATTTAGTCACATGGCACTTCTCTCCAGCATAATGTTATATGGATGATTCTTTTTGTATGAAGTCCTCATAAACAAACACTTAAATTCTGCGGTCCAACGTACATGCTGTGAATGAGTTAGCATGTAGTTAGCATATACCAGATGATGGATGGAGTCCAAAATAAGCCTAAGAGTTCTGTATGTCAAACACTGTTTCACAATGTATTACAGATTTGCTCTCTCTTGGGGTTTAAGTTACCTTGGCTTTGGGGGGGGGGAACCCTGGTTAAGCATTTCTATATGTTTTGTTCTACACTTATTTATAATAAAAAAAATGTCTGAAGTGGCAGCATATGTATATTAATATCCATAATTTCAACAAAGATGATGTATGTGGCAATGCTGTTTGTCCATTCATGTAATAACTGTAATATACTCTGCCATGTGAAGGATATAAGAAGTTTTACTCATTGCTTTGTTAGCTTGAAATCCACAGAGATTCAGGGTTCACAAAACCCTGCACTGAAAGTTTAGGTGTTACATTTGAAAATGCTATCAACATGGTCAGGACCAGTAGCATATAATTGTGTTCCCCCAAACTTTTCCCTTCAGATAACTATCACAAAAACCTGCATTGACCAAAAATCTGTAATTTAAATTATTGTCAGTAATGGATAAGTTTTGTTTTATTGGCTGCACTGTGATACATGCCTTGGACTCTTAGTAATTCTAAGTACTTCTGTTCAATGGCATGCGAAAGTACGATAATTAAAGTGAAGCCAAGACAGAGATGGTCACTTGTGACATAAATTCTCATGAAGGTAATGAGGGATTATTCGTAAATAGTGATCTGGATGCAAATAAGTTAGTGGTGATAGTAGTTTCAATGAGAATGATTTAATTGTTAGCAAAATACCACCCGCTGGATCTGAGGTTCTTGCAGCAGTGGCTATGAAGAGTACTATTTTCTGGGATGTAATGCCATTTAGTCTGGTAGAAGTTCACCATCTTTAGGTCTGATGAGTAAGCCAAGCAGGTGGTGATCAAAGAGAATCATGTAACAAAAACCATGTCAGAAGAGACAAGGGAAGAACCAATGGCAACGGTGGGAACCTGAATAAAAGGAAGTAAGGCATATTTGTACACATAAAAGAACTTTGCCGCTTTTAAGGGCCAACAAGTTACTCCTTCCTTTGCTCTTACTGATTCTCTCTGGTGGTCTCTACTTCCTTTTGTTCAGGTTTACACTGCTCCCATTGGTTCTTTCTAACTTTCTTTAATTGCCTCATCTTACATGGTTTTCATTTTATTACACAACTCACTTTGTTTGCTGCCTGCTTATTGCTGGCTACTTGCCTGGCTTACTCTGCAACCATGAAGAGGGAGGCTGCATGTTACTCTGTAGTATCAGTGAACTTTTACCAGACTACATGGTGTTACATCCCAGAAGAGAGTACTCTTCAAAATACAAGCATGTGTTGTGAAGAAAAGACAAATCATATTTCAGTAATGGATATAACATGGTAGTGACCAAGTAATCAGTACTAATGTCTCATCATTCTTTAATCATTCGGATGTATGTATGGATTTGGTTATTTTTTTCTGTCATGAAAGTCTGATTCTATTACAAACTATCTGGAAGTTATGGGTTGGAGGAAATCATTTATCTGATACTCAATGTTTATAAGAAGTGGCATGCTGTCACCTGGTACTTTCTATACACATACTTGAAAATATTTTAAAACAACTTATTGTAACAACTAAGAGATACCCATAATACAAATTGTAAAGAAATGGACAGAAATCAGCAATGATCTTGCATTAAGTCCCACTTTAAAATGGCAGTGTCTAAAGAACAGTTCTTAGCAGCTGTATCAGGTACATTCAGAATATTAACATTCACAACACATTCGTAAAATTATGAGATGGTGACATCACTGATCTGAGTGCACAGTCAGATAACTGTATGGTAAATAATGCACCATGAACATTGCAAGTTCTTGACAGTGAAAAGTAAAAACCTCAAGTATGTATAAGTGTATCTGTTCACTAGTGTTTCATTTATATATCTATACATTTTTCATACACCATATATTCAGCAGAATGAAATGTAATCCAAATGAAATTCTTGGAAGGTAGAAATAAGATAAGAAAAAATTACATGATGTTTATCATTGTAAATGTAATTTACAACACAACAAGTAAAACTAGCAAATGAATCGAGTCCAAGCTCTGGTTCACTCTCTGCTTTCTCACCTTCAACAGTGAAATGTAAACTCTGAAAACCGTTTTTATACAAGATTCTTTCATATGATTCTTTTACAGTCTGCAAAACATTGAAAATTATTCATTTTCACTAATGTTAAGGGTGGGAAAACCAATGTTTATATCACTATAATATGCAATCTCATGGCACAACAAGTATGTTGAACACTGCATAATTCATAGAAATAAATAGTGATATATACGCAAGCACAGTTTATAATAGCACTGTTCAAAATTGCTTCCCATCCTTAATATTTACAGCCAAGTACTAACACTTGTTAAACAAGTAAATCCAAGACCAGAGCCCACGCCAGACCTCATTTTCTGCACAAAATTCATGGCATGATCATCAAGTGATACTAGTCAACACAGTGGGCTCGCATATTTGCACTACATTTTATTACTTAAAACATTCATGGCTATCTATGATGAATCATCACCACCCTTATCACTGTTTCTATTCTTACCACTTCTGGAACCACAACTATATGACCTACTACTGCTACTAGCAGATCTGTCCCTGTTCCGTTCTCTTTCCCTCTGTTTCAGTTCTCGCGTTCGTTCCCGTTGCTTTTCCTCAAACTCTTTAATGTGCGAGTCCCACTCAGAATGAATATTAACATCATAACGAGCTAATTTCATATCATCTGATGTTAGAGGACCCCATCTTGTCCTATGTGAGGGCCCATTTCTTCCACCACGTGGCCTTAAGTAGCCTCTTGGTAAATGATGACCTCCACCTCGACTACCAAATCTACCTCCTCCACTCCTTATGCCACCACGTGGATTAAATCGCCCTCGCATTGGAATTGGAACCTTCTTATCCCAGGATTCTCTCCCATGCCCACTGCTGGAAGATTCTCGTTTCTCAGAATCAGGGATGTCATCTTCAACATCCTGAAATTTGCGCTTGTTTCTCAACATGGATCCAGTGTCTTCAATGGTTTTTGATGAGGCTTTTGTCGTAGTTCCTCCACCATAAAGAACTTGGGGTGCAGACACATAGGAAGAACTGAAACTGCCTCCTTGAGGGGCTGCAACATGAGGTGGCCCCAAGTTGTATGCTGAAGGTGGTGGGGCATTATAGTGATGGGGTGGCATGTGGTATGGTCCTGGACTAGGATGTCTGACAGAATAGTTGATGGGTGGAGGGGGTATCTGGTGTGGTACAAGTGACTGTATTGCATGAGGTGGTGCAACAGTCTGAGAGGGAGGAGGAGCTGGTGCATAAGATGATGAGTAACTTGGATACTCTTCATCTTCAAGCCCTGGAGGTAATGGCTGACCAGAGGGAAGAGACTTCACAGGAGTTGGAGAGGGTTTCATGGCAGCTGGCAATGGTGGTAGTGCTGCTGATGAAGGGGGCACAGGGAAACTGTCTACTCCTGGAGGAAGTGGCTGTTGGAGTGTAGGATTTGTCACTGTACTTTGTTTCTCTGCTGCAGCTGTTGCTAATTCCATCTCCATGGCTTTCTTAATCAAATCGTCATCTGACAAGGAGCTTAAAGTGGTTGCCGCTTTTGTCAGATCTGTCTGTTTTTGACGTGGGTCCCTAGCCAGGTTTACTTCTGTCTTTGTTGAGGGAGGATGGACCACAGGCATTGAAAGTGATAACAGAGCTGGAACTGCTGATGAAGCTGGACTGAGAAGGCTTGCTGTTGTAGCTGTGGTACTGGACGTGAACTGAGTTACAGCAGAAACTGAACTTGGACTGTATGATTCTTGAGTTGGTGGAGATATTTCGTGTTCTTGAGGTACATAATTTAGGTCATCAATTTCTGCCTTAGTTGCTTCCAAAACATTTGATGACCTTCCACTGGTATAATTCTGAACAATAGGATCTTCCTTAAGATTGATTCCTTTACCAATCCCTGTTGTCAATGAAGAATTGTCTGATTCACGTTTCTTTATACTGGCAAGAATTTCACTAAGGTTTGATGGCAAAGATATGTTTGATGGTATAGCAGAAAGTACAGAAGCAGTAGAATCACTTGGCGCTCCAATAAATGGAATTGAGTCTGATGGGGGAGGGGTAAATGACCGAGATGGGCTATAAGCTTCATTTTCATCTTCAGCGTTACTAACAGCAGCAGGCGCAGGGTCACATGCCTCATCTCCAGGTTCGATCATGTAGCTCTGCATTACACTACGCACCTATAATGAAAAATAATTCATTCACTTTAATTTCAAACTAAATGGAAAATTTGCATATGATACTTTCACATTTCATTAATATCTTTTAAATTCAAGTGTATAAACATACACATGTGTGCAAACACTGAAGCATGTGTACTTACATTATTGCGTTTATGAAAGTTTTTATTTTGAACATTTAATTGACTTAGAAACACCATTAAATTAAAGATTGATGCAAGATATAATCTGTTTATTCTGTACAGCTGTGAAAAAGTATCCTGCCCTCGAAGAAAAATGTATGTTGCACTGGACAACAAATTGGAAACGAGTTGATTCAATTATTTTTTGTGGGCTGAAAGTGTAAGAGGTATGGAAATTCACTGAAGGCCATCAACACAATACAGTGACAGCAAAATATGTACAAATGGCCTGGATCAGAGTGGCTGCCATGTTTTCTGCTGAAAGGAACACTGAACAAGTCTGTATGCCAATTCTCACAACAGGATGAAGAGTCAGTGAAGTGGGAACCGACTCCACATCAGTCACAGTTCTGCCTATGAAATGTCCACCACAGACTTTACTTCCATAAAGTTTGTGCAAGGTGGGTTCCAAAACAAGTGGTGGAACAGCAGGGGAATAACCATTTGAATATCTGTAAATACCTTTTGAGTTGGTATCACGAGGAAGGGGATTTCTTTTGAGTTGCACAGCCACTGATGACAAAATAGACAAAATACAGATCTGTCACTATGAGCCAGAGAGCAAACATTTGGAGTATAAAATGGAAACATATGAAGTCTCCTTTAAAAAAAAAAGTTCCAATCTTAACCAACAGTTACTGAACAGTGGACATTTAATGTATGATTTGGGCCACGCCATAGCTCAAGCAGTTAGTCACTGGCTTCCCACTGCGGCGGCCCGTGTTCGATCCCAGGTCTGGTCAAGTGGGATTTGTGGTGGACAAAGTGGCCCTGGGGCAGGTTTTCTCCAACTATTTCGGTTTCCCCTGCCAATCTTCATTTCACCAACTGCTCCACAATCACCATCACCTATCATCTGGGGCTGGTACAATAGGCCAGAAGTGGCCGCAGTACAAGGGACTTAGTCCCACCCCACTAACAATAAAAAAAATAATGTATGATTAAATCTATGCTTAGCTTTTGGTTTGATAACAGAACTTTATGAATCACTGGAGACAGGCATAAAGAATACTCTGCAGACACACATCACAAGCATATCTAAAAATTTTGAATGAAATGCTGTTTCAAAAGCCAAAAATTACAACATAGCAACAGTGCAAAATTCTGAGGTTATACCTGATAAATTTAATGTAATCAGAATCTGTACAGGTGGAAATTATGAAGTGAGATGATCACTAAAGAGTTCCAACTAGCCTCACAAGAAGCAAAACAAACATCAAAGTTCTTCACAGAATTTGTTTTGTCTTAATTTGCCAGAAGTGGCCGCACTTCCTGAGAAGCAGGGTCCTTCCTGAGAAGCAGGGAGCTGCTCCTTAGTCAAATTCCCTGCCTTTCAAACCCAATATTCACTGTCTTCTGAAATACACTTGGAAACCCTATGAAACTACAATCCTGTTGTACGTAATCATACCTGCAATGGTTCTACTCCAGTCACTCCAACTGTAGATGCACCAGCAGACTCAGTTCCCACAATCGCGCTGCTTATACTCTGAATCTGCTGCTTCTGCTCTTCAATTTTTCGATTGAGTTCCTCCATCTTCCTCTGAAGTTCAGAAGGATTCTTTGGTGTAGCAAGCAAATTATCCTCACCAGATTCTCCAGTATCTTCATCCACTCCACCACCAGGGCTATATGGTGCATCATCATCCTCATCACCATCCATTGAACTCAGAGTGAATTTTGATGTAGCTGGAGGAACAGTGACACTAGGAACCAATTCTTCAGTTTGCTTCTCTGAAACGTTTCCATCATGCCCAATGTCTTGGTTTGGTTTACGCATTAATCTCGGATCTGTATTAGAGCAGAACTTCTTTGCACCAAATGATGTATGTTTCGGCGAATGTGGTGGTGTGAATCCCTCAGAGGTGACCAATTTAGGTGGTGGATGTGGTGGTGTCAGACTGCCAATATCATCCCCTGAACCTGGAAGTGGGGGTGTGTAGCTTCTTTCTGTAGTCTCTAACACAGAAGGGAGGGGTGGAGGGCGTTTGGGTACTTTGGCTACATAAGTGAGTTCTGGGGCAAGCCTCTTTCGTCGAGCTCTAACTAGTATTCCAAGTAATAAATGTGGTCTGTAATCTTCAAAACCAGGTCCATCTAATGGTAATAAGACTTGTGGTACTGGATTGTGACTTGCAAGAGGCATAATATAGAAATCTTTGATCATCTTTGAAACATTTCCAACAACTCCCAAGCGATTTCTGGTATTAAGATATGTATAAAGTGTGATGTACGGTATCTTCTCTTCATCATTTGCTGCCGTCAAACGTATTACCAATATTTCTTTGGTTCCAGACTTCTTCATTTTTGAGATATAGTCCCAAACTGTTTCAGGTACGATCCTGTTGAAAACCAGAATCATATGGTTAATATAGCCAGTATCGTACTCTAAAATCTGTTACCCAGAATGAATTATTATTATTATTATTCTTTACTACATAGTAAAGAATAACAGCGGCACGCACATAGGAAGACTACACAGGATAACACCTGTACAGTGTGGAAACAAGAACTAGCCGCTGCAGCACTTTAGACATAGGGCGAGTAACCCTAACAATTTTAAATTTAAAATTTAGAGAAAGATTTTAAAATTAGAACTAAAGATTTTATAGTGCTACTACAGGAACATCAAAATTAATGTGTGTAAAATAATCTACAAACCAGAGAGATATCAATGAAGTAGATGTTGATAATAACAAGGAAAGTGTTTTAAATGTTAAATTTTGGCCGTCTGAAGCTGAAACATGTAGTGTAGAGGAGCAAGATCAAGGACACATAATATATTAAGAAAGCAGTCTTCTGGGATTTGGCACCATGTATATGTGGTGTTAACCGACGTTTCGGAGGAACGTATCGCCTCCATCTTCAGGGTAGAAGAAAAAGTATAAGAAATCTGCAAGCGACAAGACCGTGAGAACGGTAANTCCGAAACGTCGGTTAACACCACATATACATGGTGCCAAATCCCAGAAGACTGCTTTCTTCATAGTCACCGCCGTGAAAGCCTCAAATCTTACACATATTATATTGTTTGCACTTGGGACGGAATTTGTATCATTATATCATTTATCGTATGGGGTGCAACAGGATGCTTAAATATAATATTGTAACAAATTTACAGTCTTTTCCAACTCTGTTAGAGACCATGACAGAAAACTGAGATTCACATTAATGTATGCAAAGTCAGATTTTAGTACCTTCAACTCAGTTGAGAAACTAAATATGACTTGTAGTAATGAAACAGATGCAGCATCATCCCTGTCAAGTTCATACAGAACAGAAGATTTAAAAGTTTAAGAAAAATACAAAATGGCATCCAACCAGGTTACTGGAGTTTGAATGATGTGCATGAAACTTCATTTTTAAAGAGCTCTATTATAGCTGGCGATTTCACAAAGATTTTATTCACATTCACTACTAATCTGCAAATTATTTCACAGATCCTATGCAAAGGATGCACTGCACATGTAATATGTGGCAGTTTAGGACAGGTGAATGAAAGTGATTCCGCTATTTCTATCATCTACATATGCTGTGGTGTACGTAAGTAGCAACTACACACTGAATTTCATACCATATGGTCAGTGTCTGCACAGCTTCACAGAAATTGTGTAATTCACTGCAGACATTTCCTGACATGACAGAAGAAACAATTTTTCTAGTAGTGTTTGATTATTTTTCAAGAGCCTAACAACATTTGAAACCTTCCTTCCACTTGCATCAGCTGTTTCATGTACAGCCACCAGAATATTTCATTTTCCACACATTACTCAAATTTTGTTCAACATTTCTTCATATCACTTAGGTAAATAGTTTATCCTTAATGCTGACTAATGTGGAGGACATGTCTCAGTATACTCTGAAAGAAAATTTGTTTAAAAAAAGTGGTATGTTTGGAGACACCAATTATTTGTGTAGATCTGATGCAAAATCAGCAAATCTGTAAAGTCCTGAAGAAGACTTTGCAGCAGAAAGCTCACCAATTAGAGACTGCCTACCTGGCCCATCTCTTAAGCTGACAACAACAGCAGCAGCAATATGACTGCTTCTACTTAAATATTTTGTGACAAAAGGTTTTTCACATGACTGACAAAAGAGAGCCTGACCATCAGAAGTAAACGTGTTCCTGAATTCACTAACATACTGACAGATTTCGCTTTTCCCATTCTTGTAAATATTCTTAACTGCTACGCTACAATTAAATTATAAAACCACATTACTGTACAAAAGCTTCATGCACATCTGTACACCAATACTTGGCACCCAGCTGCAGTGGTTATAAATGCTCTCCTGATTTTCTTATTGGCTACACAAAACAAAGATGGGTGATTTGCTGCCTGTTTACAAAGTTCCAGTTACTCTCTCATTACACTTAAAACTACTGGAACCCCAAGCAGGGGATCCCCATGTCAAAACAAAAAAAAAGGGTACTTACTGGACATGTGTCAAAAGGCTGAAAACAAGGTATTTCAGTATTCTGAAAACAAGCTGTGAAGACATGGAAACATTCATTTATCCAGTGTCTAAGAGATATACTATTCAATATTATTTATATATCAAAAAATATTTATTTACATAAAAATGTGCAAATATGTATCTTTAGGTGACATAAAATCCAACACACAAGTAATAACTGTAGTAACTTTGATGTTACACTGATTTTTATGGACATAAAGCGCTACAAAGAAAATATTTTTTAACCTAGAAATCTGCAGTCTAATAATGACCTTTCCAATGACATATGGGGAAATGAAACAGGACAACGAACATGAAAGCTTAGAAGGCAGGGATATGAATGAAGGACATTGTGACTTATATCAAGATGCTACCCCTGCATTTGCTTGGAGACTGAGATAACCCACAAATAACCTCAGCTAGGAGAGCCAGTAGCCTTACTGAATCTGAACCGGTTACCTCTCAATGCAAGCCAACACTGTTATTCCTACACCAACCTACATGGGGAAGGAGTGGAAAGTATTAAAACTAATCTCAGAGGAATAGGTTGTAAATATATTAACTGGAGCTAAATGGCTTAGGACAGTCCAATGATAATGGTGATGAACTTATTTCATAGCAGCAGCAATGTCTCAATCAGCTGAAAGTTAGCAGCTGCCCAAGGAAGACCCTGTACTATGAGTTTTGACTTAGGACAATACTATACTGTAATGGAAAATGATACATACCTGCCAACTATGTCCACTGTATCAGGAAGGTCCTTGCAAAGGTTCTGGGAATCTCCAGATACCACTTGAACTGTGGTAAAGAACTTTGCTACATCTGGCATGTTGACAAATCCCTTCCATACTGATGCAGAAGCCCCTGAACTCTTATCAGTATCTAGAGTCCCCAAAGTTGAACTATCATCAATATTATTGATGTCTGGTGTCTTGATTGTCACAGTGGAACTTGGTTCTCTGTCAGACAAATCACTGTCTTCTTCTACTTTAACTTCAGTCAGAGATTCTAACTTTGTCTGGCTCTCATTTTCTGTCTTTACCTCATTCTTTGTATCTTCTTCATCAATTCTGTTGTCAACCATAACCTACAAATTAGAGTGATGAACTTTTCAGAAGTTATTTCAAATGAAACAATAGTGAAAGGTGTACTCCAACAGAATACACATATTATTGTAATTTTCATATCATTTGCACACATAATTTTGTTCATTTACAACACACAGAAATCTAAAATGTAGTACTACAGCATCCTGTTGCATGTCACTTATCACTTCTTATTCATCATCCCACATCCCCTGTACAGGCCATGGAAGCCCACAGGGTTGTGAGACATCAAGGCTCCCACATTTCTGAAGTCAGCCTTAGTCACCCACTGCTCTTTACCCCAAGGAAGATTCCTGGTACTCATTTCTGATAGAGGTTAAGTCAATCCAAGGGTCATATTGCAGCTGGTAGGATTAGATCAACTGAAGAATTCAGTGACCTCATCAGGAACTAAACCTGCTACCTTCAGGCTTGTAGCATAGGTCATCAACCATATGCTCAACTGCACACAACATACAAATACCAATTCCTCAATGTTTTCAAATACGATGAAGAAAACAGAAAATGGGGAGACTTTTGATACAATATAATCTGCAAAATACTGACATTTTCATTCTGGGAAAAGTTACAGTCAGCACCACTGGCAGAATGTAATGGCTTTAGGGTTTAGATAATCATCATGAATATATCATACAAATAAAATGATCTGCTTAAGGTGGACTGGTAGGATGGTGAATTTTGGTAACCATCACATGATTGGATCCTAGACATTTTGGCTTGCTTTTCTGATAAATGTTCTTGTTCCTCCCTTACTTTTTAAATTCATTTTTAGAGGTCCGCATATTTAGTAAAAATTCTATTTAATAAGTAAGGTTTCCTAGGTCACACACATGAAATGAGAAGTCATTACAATGTTAACTGTAGCTCTTTTATTCTGCTGAAGTATCACTATATTTCAGCATAATCCCTGAGCACACTATTGCATTTGTCCCATCTTGGCAAGAGTTTAAAAATGCTGTTGCAGTAGAAATTAGGTTCTTGCATTCATAATTCACCAACATCCATTTCCACTTCTTCAGTACTGTGGAATTGGTAACCTCCCAAATGTTGTTACAGATTACCCACACCCATACCAACTGCTACCATCTACCAAAAACTAAAATGCTTGATTAACACAGATTTTACAGGCTCAGGAACGGTAATTATTGAACATCCCTCATATTTGTATATTTAACTGTTCGTACCTTTAATATATTCAAATATATCACACCCAAGACACAGTGCAGTCACATGCAGTCTCACATGCAAACTTGTGTTAAAATCTTAAAATTCACATTTTTCAATTTTAAATTATTTTTCACATCACTTGTTATGACCAGTATGGTTATCATCAGGTGCTTCCAAAACTGCTGCATTTCTGTCAATGAACACAATTCCAAAGTACACCTTCATTTATGTGTCCACGTGTTGTATATTTGTAGTGCTGAGTGATTCCTCTTACATGTCGTGTGCAACTGTTGCAAAGCTTATATTCATATAAACAGTTACCATTAAAAAGAAACTGTGTGGTTTTAGTTCACAAGCGAACTATACCGATGGAGCCTAGCCTAGCCTAGCCTAACCTAACCATTCCAAATAGTCATAATTATTTTTTTCTAGCATTTCATTAAATATTCACCATACAAAAAAACATTTTAAATAATAGATGAAAAATAAAATATTTTGGGGGGAACTTTATGGAGTTTGATTTGGTCCCCATGTAAAGCAGGGGTTACACTAGGCCAATATTGTGCTACAGTAAAGTCACCTTACAATTTTTTATGTTGATCCTCCTTAATACCAAATTTAATTAAAATCTGTTGAGAAGTTTTACAGTTCCTAGTGTTCATTTTAGGCACTCTGTACAAATAATACACAAAAAAAGTTTACAGCCTAAAACTAATCTGCTGCACATTTCACCCCTGAAATTAAATAAGAAAGTTATAGCAGTGAGTTCACCAGTACTATATTAAAGGGAAGTCAACTGATATGAATTTCTACATTGAATCGTATGCACTCATAACAACATGGAATCATTTTACTGTTACAAAATACACAAATACAAAGACCAGCATTCTGCATTTAAAAATAATTAATTTAGTCACATTGTTTCATGAAATATATTTGCAAAAGAATTTGGAATAAACATGAACCTGCATTTGATGGAAAATTTCTATGATCCCAAGAATACAGACTGATAAGCAACATGAAGTTATATGGAAAGAATAAAAATTTAAAAGGAATTATCAGAGGATATTCCTGATACAAGCTGTTAACAACATATACTTTAGTATACTCCTATGGTAGAAAGTAGACCGGCTCTGTGGTCCAGTGGTCAGAGTTCCTGGCTACAGATCCAAAGGTCTGGGTTCGATTCCTGGCGCTACCAGATTTTCTGAGAATTAGTGGGTCTGGAATGGGGTCCACTCAGCCTCGTGAGGATAACTGAGAAGCTATTTCAAGGAAATAGCAGCTCCGGTCTAGAAAACCAAAATTAACGGCTGTGGGGATTCGTTGCACTGACCACGTAACAACTTTTATCTGCTAAAGTTGGCACTAACTTCACCGACAAGCAGCAGTCGCTCAGTCGGTACAGTTCACTTGCAGACTAAAACCACAGAGTTTTTAGGGAAGAAAGTAAACATCAGGGGACAAGGGAAGGTAATACAGAAAGAATAAAATGTGTACTGCTCAGTAACCATAGTACACATCCTTGGCACAAGTTTCTGATATACATCTTGGTTTATAAATATATAGAGTATGTACTGTGCAACACACCATATTTCATAATACATCTAGTAAATGTAAACCCGACTGAAATGGAAAAGAGATGAAGTTTTATGGGTTTCCAGTACATGCATCCTTAGCCTTAGTGTAGGAGACATCTGGTCAAAACAAACAGGACCCAGCATGCTTCAGAAGTCCCTCATGTATGATAAAGTCAAAGCATAAATGTGAAGCAAATGCAGTATCCCCCCCCACCAATGATTCTGAATGGGATCCCTTTACCCTGGGTGCTCCTATACAAGAACTATGGAGTCTTATCTCCACCCTTGTCAGAGAGGCCATGCCTGATTCTGACGCTATTTAACAATATTTTCTTTTAATTCAACAGGTTAAATGGGACTGAATGAGACAGGAAGGCTATCATTTGGAAGGAAGCCATCATGAAACACTAGCCCACCATTTGTCTGGATAATGAATCAGGACAACAATCAGCCTGACCAAGATTCACACTAGGTACCTGCTGAATACATGTTTAAAGCTTGCATGCAGGCAGAGATCAGGATGATAAACATATACATGGAACCATAAGCACCAACAATATGCTGAGTTACTGACATAAATTAATCCTTCACTTACACAGAAAATATGATGAGATAAAAGTTGATGTAAAATGCAATTCAGTGTTTGTAGGAAATACAGAGAAATAACATATTATGATAAAAATCAATAAGTGGTGGCAATAACTAAGTTCACTAAAGGTGACCTCACAAAAGACAGCTTCTATCTGGGAAACAAATTGCACACAAAGCGCAAGACTAATAATTAAACATGTTCACACAGAAACTTCCCCTGACCCCTTTAATTACAAACAATCACATGGCAAATGTCTTACCTTGCTTTCTTCTTTGATACTCTTCTTCAAATCTTCCTTTTTAATTTGCACTTCATCTTTTTTCAATTCATCATCCCGTCGCTCCTTCCTATTCCTGTCCCTGTCTCGTTCAGAAGAACCATGGTGATGGTGATGATGCTTACTCTTGCTACTAGACTTTCGTTCTCCACTCCTTCTTCCATCTCGTTCACTTCGGCTGTTGTCTCGATGACTTTCATGCCTGCTTCCATCTTTATCTTTAGAATGTTCTCTATCACGACTACCTCTCTTCTTGTCATCTCTTCTTGACCTTTCCCGATCTCTCGAACTTCGACTTTTATCTTTTCTTTTCTCCTTATCCTTGCCTTCTCTTCCTTTATCTTTCATCTTTTCTGTGTTTTCTTCTAATGAGGTATCTTCCACCGTTGAAGATACAGAATTGTTCAATGCAGAAACCAGATCTGGCACTGCAGATGGATCTACTAACTCTGGAACATCCATCTTCATGCTCTCGTCTGTTTCAATCACCTGTTCACCCTTGTGTGTCTTCATCACATATGTCTTTGAAAGAGCCATCAAATCTAGTTCATTCTTTTTAATCATCTCTAACTGATGCTTTGCCTCCCTTTCACGCCACTGTGCTAACTCCTGCGATGCCAATTCTTCAGGAGATAGTCGTACCAACTGAAAAGGTGTCACTGATTTATCAACAATCTTGCGAAAAAGTGTCAGGTTCTTAGGATCTTTAATATTAAAAACGAGGCTCCTATATTTAGATTTGTACTTGATACCTGTGTCTCGGAAGTATGTGTGCATTTCTTCCTCAACATTTAGTGCTATTTTCTGAACATCCTCTTCTGCCACAATAAGATCTGTGCACTCTTGTATTCGACTTTGAAGGAGTTCCTGTAGTGTTTTACGGACATTGATTCTAATTGGTTCTGGTCCTGGAGGTTTTTCCTCTTCTTTTTTTGGAACTTCTATTGGTGATGTTGATGAAGTACGTTTCACTTCAATTTTTTTTGTTACTACAGGTGGCTGACTTTTGGTCACTGTATTTTCTTTAACTGTAGAAGTAGCTGGAACTTTGGAAACTGCGGGGACCTGTAGTGGTTTTCCTCCCTGTGCTACAGGTGTGACAGTTCCTGCAGATTTATTTATTGCCTTCGAAGTTCCAGTTGGAGATTTAACTCCCTGACCAACTTTTGCAACATTTTTTGTAGACACCTCTCGAGCAATAGGTACAGAAGGTGTTGATGTCACTGGTTTGTGGACTCGACCTACTGGAGAAACTAACTGGGATTTTGTTGTTACGACTGCACCTGCTACAGGTTTAGGCTGGAAGGCAATAGATTTGGGTTGAGCTGTAACAACCTTTGACTGTGTAAGAAGTGATTTGGTATTCTGAACCTGCTTTAGTTGCCCAACTGTTTTCTGATTGTAAAACTTGGTTGTTGGCATAACTCCTGGGCGAACAACTTCAAAGGTTGGATTATCCTTTAACCAGGTCTTCAAGTTCCCTGCTGTAGGAGCATTTGGACCTAAAAATTGTAAAATATAATAATCAACACGTTTCTTCAATACTTACAAGGCATAAAAATATTGGTTGCTTACTCAGGGGCAGTTGATTTTGTATACAGGCAAGCAGTAATTCATGCAAATTACTTATATTAACAGATCATTAGTAACGTTTCTCTCTGTAGAGTGCAAGAACAAATTACAATGTGAACAAAACTGTAAACGAATACTTCGGGTAACTATTCATTTTAATTCATTCGGTGCTGCTGGTTTAAAATACACTGACAACTAGAAGGTAACACTCTTACATACAGACAAATAAAACAACCATTCAAAAGTGAATGCATTTTAGCCTAGCCCTATGTATTTATCTGAATCTATGACATGCTTCCTTGTAATTTAGAATCTGAAAAATGAAGGGTAAACCCATAATAGCAAACAAAACAGTATAATATACTGTTACAGGAAAGTCAGTAGAGATAGCTACTGTTAGGCAATGGCACTCAAAACACATTTCCACAGCAACAAATCAGCAGGCAACAGTAGCTGAACTGCTGGAAAATCAGCATATAATACAGTAACTATGGAAATGATATTTCCATGTCAGTCAGGGCTAGGAGGTCATGAGTTAGTAGTAAGCCAGTTGTCACCCAGCAAGGATATGACAACATGAGCAAAGGAATATTCATTGTTAGAAGCCATTGCCTAGCAACCTAGTGAAGGCACAGAAGCCTTAATGTATGCAGCAGTAATTTGTAGAGGGTGAATATCTGTGCAACTCCTATAGTTACTTGTAATTATGAGTTATACATGTTCAACAAAACCAGCTGTCAATCCAAACCCTGTGTCTAGTCATTAACNAAAAAAAAAAAAAAAAAACGTATAAGTGGTGAAAATCCACAAAGGGCTGACTCTCTAAAGCTACTAAGAAATACAAGGTCTGACAATAAAGATCATGAACTTGCCACCGTGTGCTTACTGTGGCAGCAGTGGACAGAAACCTCAGTATGGTTTGATGAAGTTGGCATATCAGCATTTCACAGCTGTGCTGTTGCTACTGATGTATGGCAGTCTCTTTCTGAGTGGCACCTGTTACTGTCTGAGTGTGTTTTGGTGTGCTGTCATGATAATGTCAGAACAGACATTAAATTTCTTGTTAAACCTGGTAAGAGTGAAGCAAATTTACAGAGATGCTAGTGCAAATTTATGGGGATAATGCTATGAAGAACACAGCAGTTTATAAGTGGGTAACACGTTCTTCTGAGGGGAGAGAAACTGCCACTGACGAAGAGAGATCAGGATGGCCAGCAATGAGCAGAACTGAAGAAAACATAAAAGTTCATCGAATTGTGTGTGAAAATTGTCAGTTGACTGTCAGGAGCATAGCAGAGCAAGCAAACACCAAGAGAGAAACAGTCAGGAACTGTTCATATGGCACTGTCTGTGAGGGAGTTTTTAGCAGTAAACAAATAACTGTGCTGGAACGCCCACCCTGTTCACTGGATCTAGACTCCAATGACTTTTTTCTGTTCATGAAGATAAAGGAAATATTGAAAGAAAGTCATTTTGATGACACTGATGACATCCATAGTAATATGATGGAAGCTCTGAAGGCCATTCCACAAAACCAGTTCCAAAATTGTTTTGAAAAGTGAACTAGGCGCTGGCATTGGTGCATAGCTTCCCAAGGGGAATACTCTGAAGATACCTACAGTGATATTCAGCAATGGGGTATGTAGCACTCTTACCACCATGAGTTCGCGAAATGTATTGTCAGACCATGTACTTATATGCCAAAGCAGAATGTGCACCCAAATTTAATGTTTATCCCAATTCTGAAAGGTTAAATTCAAGCAAAATAAGAACTTGTTTTACGTGTCAGTTGTCTACAATTTGTGAACAGTTTTTAAATACAGCAAATAACTATCAATGACTTAAACATTTCTGGGGCATCTTTCATTATGATGTCACAACGAAGAAGAAAATAAACTAATTTAAATAATGTCATTTAATACTAACATAACTGTACATGCATGACTACAATATATATTAAAATTTTCTGACTATGTATATGGAGAGAAATGTGTGCATAGTGTTCGCAGAAATATGATGTTAAGGACAGTTATATTTACAAGTATGTGAGTAGGTTATAACATCAGTATATTTGTCTAGGAACTAGACATGTGGCTGGGGAAAAATACGACTAAACACTAAAAACTTTCAATTCTCAATTTACATAATGTAAGTTCCAGAGATAGGGATAAACATATATTCAGCCACTACGGAGATGAAACACGGGTATTCAAGAATATTTTTCCTTTCAGTGTCACCTTGCAAGCACAAGAATGCCAGAAGGGAGATTATACTGAAGTACACCAAAAAGAAAGAAGAGATCTTGGTAGTAAAGTGCCACACACACAATTTAAATCTTAATATCCTCTTCACAAAATCAAACTGACCCACAACTTCACTCTAAGTTTTACACTCACTCTCTTAACCATTTAATTGACCCATGGCAAGTGAACAGGAATTTTACCAGAACCCTCATTTGCAAACACGATAAACACTGGAATGAATCTGAACAGGTATACAGAGTGTTTCACGACTTTAGGGCATAACCGCAGGAGGTGATTTCCTAGGTCTTCGTGATCAAAAAGTTCATATAAACATGTGTCCGATTTTGGACGGTTACGGAGTTATGACCGTTTTAAACTCAGAATAGAAGGTAACGATTACTGACAATAAACGGAACAAAATAATAAACCAGCATAATACATGATACATTTAAAGTATGAATGTAAAGTTAACTTCGTGAAATTACCTTTAATTTGAATTGATTGGTGCTTGAAGCTGATTTTCGAAAATGCCATCGCCGGCCGCAACACAGGCTGCCGCTCAGTTGTGAACCACGTGGGTAGCACGTAGCAGCTTCAGCTGGCTGTTTCTTATGTGGTCAGTGGCGTCCAGAATGCGACCGAGCAAAGCATCTTGCGTTGCCACCTTCACATTGTAAACCAGTTCTTTCATCCATCCCCACACACAATAATGCAGAGGGCTTAAGTCTGGAGACCTGGCTGGCAATTCTTCGCATACTTGTATGTGGACTGTCATGTACCATACGAACAATGCCTTCTTCATTGACGCCTTCATTAACACCATGCTTGGCTGCAATACGAACGCCGGTAAGTCTACCGGTATCTCACAATGCCTGGTAAACTCCAGTAAACATTCTCCGGTTCGGTATTCTACGATTCGGAAACCGTTGCTGATATTCAGGTACGGCAAGAACTGAGTTACCGTCACAAAACCTGTACACATCAATCATATCTGCATATTCCTCAAACGAAAATGTAAATGGCAACGTAACAGACGCACCGAGATGAGAACTGTTCTGAACAGCAGTAGCCGCTACACTAGCCGTGGCTGGACATACCAACCCACCACGCCTTAGGTACCTCTAAAGTGTCGAGATAATGAGAACGTTCTGTCTGTAGCTGGCTAAAAATAGCAACCCGCCAGATGACAGATGCGGTTCATATGAGGGCATGTACGAGAATGAAAAATGGTCATAACTCCGTAACCGTCCAAAATTGGACACATGTTTATATGAACTTTTTTGATCACAAAGACCTAGGAAATCACCTCCTGCAGTTATGCCCTAAAGTCATGAAACATCCTGTATAGTGTACCCCAAGAAGACAATAAGAGGGTCACATATTTTTATTTTTCAATGACAGGGCTTCTGGAGCGGAGCACATCAGAAACTGCTGCAACTGACACACTTACCTGCCAAAAGCCTTCCTGTTTTTCTTTCAAATACAATGACTCTAGCATCAGGTCTGGCCCTTGGAAGCTGTGCTGCTGCACTTGAAGATCCAGTCCCAGGCACCATTCCTAAGTGTTGCTGCAATTGCTGTTCATTCTGTCCACGAGGTGCTGACACCTGGGTTTGATTATGGGCCATTTGTGCAGCAGTGGCCTGTGTTCCAACTGCTACGTGCTTTTCTTTGTTGATTAGGCTGAGTGACTCCTGAGCATGTTTCAAGATGCATGAGTCACTGCAATAGATGCTAGTTGGCCGAGCTTCTTTCTTGCATACAATGCAGTACATAACTCCATCATTCACACTGCAAAATCAGGAATATTCGACATTGGTTGTCTGTTCTTTCAACTGACTCTTTACCACATATCAAGAAGTGAATAATGGTACAATAAAATGTCCCTAGCAATGCTTAACATACTAAAACACAGGATACAAAAGAAGTTTAAATTAACAATCTGATGGAATCAGGAAACAGTGGATGTAAATGGTGCGGCAAAGGGTTGATCTCATACAGGTTTACTGGAAAGAAACAGACAATGCTATCTCTCCGTAACAGAACCTGAGACAAGAAATAACTACCATGTATTTTAACGTGTTAAAACATAACAGCAAAAACTTATACCATGAGATACCTATAAACCTGTTTTCAATGCCATGCATATCAAAATCTTCACTAGACAGGAAATTTTGTAATACAGTGAATTATGAAAATATTTAATTTTTTTATAACATTGACTTACTGAATGGCAGCAAATAATAAGTCAAAAAGGATGCAGAAGGGAATTATCATTGCTTAATTTAAGGTACCATCCCAGTATTTGCCTGAAGAGAATGATGAAAATCACCAAAGTCCTCAGTCAAGATAATCCATGGCTCGGCCAATTTGAACCGGTGACCTGCTGAATATAAATCTGTAGCATTAGATTTGATTTACAGATCTCCCTGACATCAATACCAGATGACTATATGAATCCTATGCCACTTAATAACAATGTTTCTGTTGCTGCATAATGACATGGTGAGAGGTAAGCATTTGGAATAAGGAAAGCATTGAAAATTTCATGGCACTATTTGCCAATTTCCTGGAGAGGTGGAAAGAAAAAAAAAATCCCAATCAGAAGTGTCAATACCTTAGCCAGTATTCAAAGTGGGAACCCTGAAAAGAACAATTAGAGAATTATTGCTGTATCAATGCACAGTACATATGACATCATATGGTAAAAGGTAAAGTTGTCCCTGTGCTTAACTAATTAAGCACTATGCCATGAAGGCATATGAGGGAGTGGAAGTATCATAAGATATGACAAAAAGTTACACATATTAAACAAAATCTAAACAAACATTGGTTAGTATGTGAACTTGAAATTTCAAGAAGTAAGCTCACAAGTATTATTGTTTATATCAAATACCTAATGCTGGCTCATACAGAACACATAACCCTATCTGCAATCTGATCTTACACCTTTTCCATTATGTTTGTTATTAAGGAAATAAAACATGTATGAAATCATTTATTTCATACTTCACTGAGTACAGAATCATGTCACATCATAAAATTTTAAATGTTTTCTAAGGAATTTGCTGCCTATTTCATCAGGATCAAACATTTAGAAGGATGTAACAAATGCCTGCAGATCATCACCAATTTTTAGAAAGAGGCAGCAAGTTTCTTCAAATGTCAGTAACTTTTATGAGGCAAAAAGTCTGTTTAAAACCAGTTATTTTTTGGTCTTTGAAAGAACAAATGAACACTTTATCAGGTCCACTACAATATACAAGTTGGGGTGCTGGAGTTTGACTCCCTGGTCCTATGGTTCCAGAATACCATTTATATCACTATTTCTGTAGTATAAAACTCATCTATTATCCATTCACTAATTCATGGAGCTGAGCCCTTCTTGAGAAGTTGCCAATTGTGCAGCTACTCAAGAACTTCCCAGCATGTTATGGAACCCAAAGGTTCATTACCGTGTTTACAAGAGCCGGTCTCTTTCCTTCTGGCTTTCCCACCAATATCCTACATGCATTCCTCTTCTACCCCATTTGAGCTATATGCCCTGCCCACCTCATCCTCCTTGACTTGATCATTCTAATTATACTTGGAGAAGTGTACAAGTTATTGACATATAAAGTAAAAAGTAAAAAGTAAAGCTACCTCTGTACCAGGCCGTGAAGGCCCATAGGGCTGTGAGACAAGGGTCCCACATTATCTAGCCAATCGGCTCAAAGATGGCAGTAAGGTTGTCAGCCTTACGCGCCAGCCGCACTTTACTCCCCAGGAAAATTATTTAATTAATTCCTGGTACTCATTTCTGTTAGAGGCTGAGTAGACCCCAAGGCCATAGTGAGGCTGGAAGGATTAGGTCAACTGAAAAAAAATCCAATGACCTCATCAGGACTTGAACCCACGACCTTCCGGCTTGTACATATAAATATTGCATTAATTAAAGTGTATGTTCCAGTACTGATATACAAATATATGCAAGCCTCCAAGATGTTCAGTCCCCAAAATGAGGCACAGTGAGATGTTAAATGAACCACACATTTGAGGATGGAGTATGTAAATAGATGTTCCCTAGAATTAATACCACACGTATGCTAAAATATGCTAACCAAAGACATGTGAGATCTGAGGTTTTCATGGCACTGACTATAATGATTACCGTCTTCTGGGATGTGAAACTGTGCAGTCAGGCACATGTCTATTAATGTTTTGGAGGAATGTGCTGACTCCATCATTCAGGGTAGAAAAATCACTCTTCTAATCTGAAGGTAAAGGCAGCACATTCCTCTGAAACATCAGTGAACACCTTCCAGACTACAGAGCATCACATCCCAGAAAATAATAATCTTTAAAAATAAACAAACTGGAACACACCTGAGCTTTACTTTTCTTTTTCTTAAGATGACATTTGTAATGTCAACAGAACATTACATTTTGTACCAAATTAAGCCCATACATAAACTGGTAATCAAGGGTGATCACATAAGGCTGAATGAAGTCAAAACAAGATTCAACACTGTTGATACAGGACACATGATTTGCATTAAATAAGACTGCTACTGTACCTAGCAAGTGACCATACAGAAGCTTCATCATTCACAGGAGCTAAATGTGTTACATGGAGGATAAAGAAACTAAGGTTAAAGGAAGGGAACACATGTATGTATACTTACTGAAGAGTGGTGAAACAGAGGCAGAACATTTATGATGAGAAGGAAAGAACTGATTCTAGATATCACATGCATTATTAGTTATCAAGTCTGTATTGGTTGTAATATGTTGGTGATTACAAGATATGTTTCTTCTGCAAAGATTACCCTCTTTCTGAGAAAATGAAATTACTTGAAAGTGTATTTCATGTTAAAAATAACTGCACAGAGTGAAAAACTTCATACACATTTCCAACAATTTTCATTTCGATTAATACATTTTTTGTTATCTGGAATTGACTGTAACAGAATTGTATTATATTCAACGAGAACAGATGACTGCATAATAAATTGCATAAACAAGAAAAACTTACAACGGCATTTGAAAACCGTTGAGCAAAAAAAAAAAAANAACCATTCACTTGACAACGACTTAAATAACTTTATTAAATAAAAAGCATGCTAAATGTATATATCACAGATAATAATACTAATAATAAAATACAGTGGAATGAAAGAAACACTTTCACTGTTTTGTTAATAAGAACCTTGCATGAAGATTTAAGGAATACAGGCTGGATGTACAGTATGCGCCAAAAGTTAGTGTACTTAAATAAAAAAACGTCCTGTTGATACCACTGTCTATTCATGTGAAAGCCCCTTGCACGAGAGAACCTTCTCAAATCCTGAAGAAATGGCCTGATCACCATGTCCCTGTAGCGTCCTTGGGTGACGGTAAGAGCATTGCCTTCCTCATCCTCAATGAAATAGGGGCCTAATATACCGTGTGCTGAGATGGCACACCATATCGTCATACGTGTACTATGTAGTGCTTTCTGGACGATAACATCTGGACTCTCAAAACCAACGAAGCGAGTTGGTCTGGCGACCACTTCCGTACGCGGAAATAATACTCAACTATGAATACTTTTTCCTCTGTCGAGAGACAACTGCACAACACAACCTCCTTTTCACTACTGGGAACATGTGCAGCTGGAGCTATGCCCCGTCATCAAATGCACATGCGCGTTTGAGATGCGCGAGTTTCAGTACTGTATATTTTGGCACATACTGTATCAACTGTTTAATCAGTTCCTCTGCAAGAAATTTAAAACTGGAAACACTTCTAATGCCTAATGTACAGCTGTAATAATGGTACTGCATAAGGACTCCTGGCAGCCTTCAATCTGTGTTCCTTATAAGAGGTTAAGAGATGCAGCAAGTCATAATTTCCCCTTAATGAAACACAAGATGCTTTATTATTTGACTTTTAGTGGATAACTACTTTCTGTCCAGTTCTTCCCTTCACTGATCTGATGCAGCTGCACATCACATTATAGTTTTAGAATCTATCAGCTACAGTCAGCATGAAATCTACTTGTGTTTCCTAATTAATAATGCCTACAGTATGTTTAAGTGAAGTAGTTCTGGCTTAATCCAAGGTACCAGCATTTACCAGATGGGACTGAAAAGAAACCACATAGCACCTAAGTCAGGAGAGCCAGACATCCAAATACAACCACTCAACAAAGTCCCTACCTCGCAGTCTTACTTTCACTCTTCACTCCAAGACCAGGCTGTATAAAATGAGCAATATAAATATAGAAACCATATCAAATATTAGGCTGAAGGTGAAATGGTAGGACTAGGTTGAAAGTTACTGTAGACTAATGCAATAAACTGTCCTAATATTTGCACGTGAGAACAAAGGTTTCAAGAGACAACTCCTACCACACTAATTAATGCCAGGGCCATCTCAATGTAAGTCTGTTGCCTCATGGAATCAGTTACCTTGATATTGTGACATGTTGCGCTATGGATGACGCCCCCCCCCCCTGCCAGCCGTGATGCGCCGAGCGGAGCCGAAGTGAGCCGAGTCCCAGCACACTGGTCGCTATGCAACACGGGTAAACACTGGTTGCGAGAGACAACTCCCGACAGCGTTACTAGTAACACTAGTAAACACGGAGCCAGACAACAATGGTGCCTATTACATGGCTGTTTTCTGAGTTGTCTGGAACGAGGCTAGATACGGAGCAGCAAAGACTATTCAGAGTGAGTGTGTGATCAGAGTTCTCCATTTACCCAGCGGAGAGTTCCGAGTTGGCCAGCAGTCAGTTCTCCAGTTCTCTAGTTACGAGTCAGTCACCAGTTAATTGCAGTATAGTACCTGTGATACTGCCGATGGCAGTAATTGTGAGATTGTAATTTCTGTGATTGTAAGAGCGAATGTGAAATAAAATTCGCTATATCAAGCACGGCGTGAATTTATTTGTCGTGTTATACACCCAACACGTGACAATTTGGTGTCAGAAGTGGGATTGGACTTACACACGTGACCAAGAAGATTTGAACTCAAGACACATGACCGTCAGAAGGGTTACGAACTTACACACGTGACAATTTGGTGTCAGAAGTGGTTTACGAACTTGAACACGCCTCAACGAATTCTACTACCGCACGATGGAGATGGAAATTTTTTTTGAACGCCTAGTGGCGATAATAGACGCCAATAGAAAGGACTGGCAAGAAGAGAATTAATCGGAAGTGTGTAACACAGTGACACTTGTATAGATCCCGTACTGTGAAAACGTGTAGGCTACTGACAATAGAGTGATTTGATTTGCGAATAGGGTTATAAATTGTGAAACCCCGCAACATTGTTATAATTAATTGTAGCAGAGACTGGTAGGTTGTTAAATAAACCAATTAAAAATCTGAATGGCGTCTTCAGTAACGAAACATGTTACAATATTTTATATGCAGGTAAGATACCACAATTGTTAGAACTGACAAATTTGATGGATCTGAAGGTTCATGATGCTGATCCAATGCCTGGGGTCATGCATATCAAATGAGGAAGATGATTATAACCATACTTTGGAAGGAGGTTGATATGATCACTTGAAGGTACTAACCAAGCACTCACCTAGAGATCTGAGGAAAACTAAAGACATTAATTGTTAACATATGAACATGTACTAATGGTGAACATGGGCCATTTAGCTCCAAGGTACACTGGAGAAAATAAGAGTGCCAAGAATACTGGTACCTCCAATGTCCAGCAAAAAATATAAATCTATCTCCTATTTACATCGACCCTTGAACTTGTGTAATTCTTAATACATCCACCTCACCTAGTTTGCTGTCTCTGCACTGGTGAAGTCGCAACTTCCTCTGCATTAACAGGCTCCTTAGGATCGTTCTGCAATTCTTTCTGGCTCTCTTTGTGCCCACTTTTATGAAGAGTTTCCTTCGGAGCAGATTTCTTTATATCCTTCTCCTTGACTGTTCTGCTCTGCTTCCTTGCATCATGTTCTTGCTCTTTTCCATCAGTTTCTTTCTTCTTGTTACAGTTTGGACAGCACCATTCCAAACCATTTTCCTCCATCTGTTTACCTGTCAAAGAATAATATCAAGAACGTGTCACCACTATTAACTAACATTGTCATTATAAAGCAATTTACTATATCCTCAAGCAGGCCTCCATAAATACAAATAAAATATAGTAATCACTTAACTTTCATCAGTCATACATTATATTAATAGAACAATGCACGTGCAGTCCAGTTAGCCATACAATTATTTTGAATCACCCTATAGCAACTACATGAACTTATACTCAGTGCTGTACAGACTTCTGTTATGCTTTCCTGCTGTGAGTTATGCATAAACACCAGTCTTAAGAGGACTACTCCTAGTCAAAAAGGCTTAATTCCAGTCCATGATCACACCAACTGAAACTCAGTCAAAGTTTTGTTGGCTTTGAGATGACGGTGCCCATATGAGTCAGATGATAGTCTAATACTGCAGTAAATAAATGAAACTTTCTCATGTGTCTGTAGTTGGAAGATGATGCAGGAGTGATGGTGTGAGATAGGCTGCCAGCATAAGTTTCAAATATAAACACCTACCTTTGAGGCACTGTTATGCTAGTGGGCAGGGGCAATAAACAATACTACTCTCAACAGGACAGAACTTCCTCCAAGTCAGGAAGCAAATTTTAAAGAATAAAGAAGATATCCAAAGGCATACAATTTTGAAGAATGACTCTGGTGGTCCAGTCTCATCTGAGAATGAAAGCAAGCTTGATGAAGACACAGTAGGGTGAGAACAGTATTATGAGCAGAAGCCAAGATATCATGGGAATTCCAATCATTTCTACCCTTTTGCTGCAGTATCAGTGGACTGAGAACACAAGAGGCACCCCACATAAACATTTTAAATCAACTATTGCCTTTACCCTGTTTTCCATGGAAGTGAATGGTGGCAGAGACTAATAAACACAACTACTGCATACACACACATCACAGTGACATCGGATCATCGCAACTTTCTTATATGATTGTTCAGGTGATGCACATTTTTTTTAATAAATACTAATGAGACATGGTATGAGGAACAAAATGAGATTACTGGTCCATGCCTGAACAATTCTATTCATCATAACGAATACAGACTGAAGTACTGAGACTACTTTTTTGGGACATATCAATGAGAGAAGACTGAAAAGAATATAACAGACTAGAAAATCAGAACTCCCTTTGACTAGCTGACTAATATCTATACCAAAATTTATAATCCATTTTAACATACAGCTATAGCCAAAGTTATTGTACGAGTACTCTTCATCAGAAATTATTTTGAGGGAATACAATCCTAAGAAATAAAAAAACATTGATGATTTAAATCTGTGCAACATGACTGAGTGTATGCTTAGGGAATGACAGACAAAACGCAACACAGCTGAGGGAAGCTACATGTGTGACAGCCAAATGTCTCACTAGGAGAGTTAAAACAGTCTAACTGGATTATCCCTCTGTGGCGGCAAAAGAGGCCTATGAAAATTCTGATGGAATTTGGTTCAAAATCTGTTGGAAATTTGGGAAAGGGAGCCTCATTCTCAATCCACACCAACAGGAAGACCAAACTCAAAGACAGCCAAATTGCCCACCCTGAAGACAGATGCATCAGTCATTGGCCTGTTGCAGGACCATATTTGCAGTGTTGAAGAAATGAACAATTGCAACATTTCAGTGTTCTAAGTGTAGTTAGCCCTGTTTTTGTAGTCACCATTCACACATAAACTTTTAAATCAGAGTTCTGTCATAATTGGGGAGGAAAACATTTCCCAAAATATAGGTATTGCATAATTTGATTTAAACACTGTATCCCCATTTAGGGTTTGAGGGGAGTGGATTTCACTATTAAGGTTTAAATGCAGGCAATTCAGCACTGAGACTGTTGACTTGGGACAATTAAAACTGAACATTAAATGAGGGAAAGCTTTAAATCAATAAATAATGAACATGGTTTCTGCCATACACAATATCTTACTTTATTTCAGGTAACAATAAGTGTTACTGGAAACAAGAGTCTTTACATTAAGAAACACTACAGAATTTAGTAATTTATTTCCTTTCAGATACTTTTTATGCAAATATTTTAGCTGGTATAGTTCCAATAATATTGTAACATGAATAGCCAGAGTGTTGCTGGGTAGTGAACCAGTAAACACCCCATGACCAAATACACACAAGGCAACAATTAAAGATGTCTCACTAGAGGAATGTTATTGTCTGTTACTAGGCAACAGCACACCAATGAAGATGCTGGCTAGGAATCACATGACTTGTTCTGTGTTGTCTTCCTTAGACAACAACAGAACTGTGTTTTCCGTGTGTGGTCCATGCCAAAGGCTTATAAGAGAAGTGAATGCAGCGACAAAAAAGTCAGTCATAAGCTGGAGGAGCAAATTGAAACCTGGAGTACAGCAGAGTGCAGGAGGTTGGCCTGTGAATTAGAACACTTTATGTGTGCGGTAGTACAGTGATATTGGGAGTGAGTGATCCAGTGAGACTGTGCTAGTTTCTGTGTTGAGATCTGTTCCTAAGAAACGACTAGTGGAAACAGAGAATCCTAGTGCGTGTGCAATGGTAAACTGTAAATTGTGTTAAACGACAACAGTGCTGTAACTTAAGTGTAATTAAGAGAGGTTGTGACCAAGGTAACTATAAATCCAATCATCCGAAACAGAATCTGTCACTCTCGTCACACGTACCACCCTACACATGACAATATATATATGTAGATACAATATACGAGGGTTGGAACTTTAATAGTGGCAACACTGCTGTAGAGACGCCATGCAACGGAACCAAATAATGTCACTTATACCTCACGTTAGCTACATACCTTCCTTACCTCAGAGCAAATGGCCTCTCCCTTCCCATATCACACGCATGTGCAGTGACGAGAACAGAGTCCCGTGTTAGCTGCCAGTCTAACATAGTGTTGTCACAGTGTTTTTGAAACAGGAACAATGGAGTTGGATAATGACTGAATGTGCCAGAAGCCGTACAGCACGACAGTGTCATCGAGGTCTTCAAAGAGGCTTGCAGGGAATCTGCATTGCCTTACAGTGGCAAGGTGGGTAAAAGCCTTCAACAAGGGACATCAAAATGTGGCAGACATGCGTCGGCCAGGTCATCCTAGTGTCAGTGAAGAAGTAGTGTATGCTCTTTCTGCGTTACTGCAGAGTGATCGACGCCATACGATTCGTGAGCTGGCCCGAGAGACAGGATTAGCGCATACGACTGTGCTTCACATTCTGAAGGAATGCCTGGGCATGAGAAAAACTGTATCCCGATGGGTTCCGCATGATTTGACGGAAATGCAGAAATGGCTACGATATAACACTGCTTGTAGCCACATGGAGCGCTATGAGCGCAAAAGAGAGGCTTTCTTATGCCGTATCATTACGCTGGATGAAACATGGGCCAAATCATACTCCTACGAGCCACAAATGAAACACCAATTGAATGAATGGCGTCATTACAGGTCATCACAAAAATCAAAAGTTCGTCAGAACCCCAACAGTGTGAAAGTTATGGTGATTCTCGTGTACGACTGTGATGGTGTTATCCCAATGCATACCATTCCCAGACAGCAGACCGTCAATGCGCAGTATTAGTGTTCATTTTTTAAACACAACCTGTGATCAGCTTTAAGAAAGAAGTGGTGACACTTTCTGCAGAACCCACATATCATGTTGCAGGATAATGCTCGGCCGCATGTAGCGCAAGCTGTGGCTGATTCGTTTGATCGATGGGGCTGGAAAGTGCTGTACCAGCCACCATATTTCCCAGACTTAAGCCCTTGTGACTTCTACTTGATTCCTAAGATGAAGGAACCACTTCATTCAAACTATCAACACAACAGGCACTGCTAAAGGTATCCTATGACTTCCACATTGCTGGCAACGGGTTGTATGCAATGCTGGTGACTACATTGAAAGACAGTAAAACTTCGAAACATGCATCTATTTTGTACCAGTTCTAAATAAATAGTTGCCACTATTAAAGTTCCAACCCTCATATTTTTTCAATGCTAATAAAATTACTAGTTAAAACACCTAAGTTAATCCTGCCTGCCGGCTCCAGGATTTAAAGTCCACATTTTCATGCAATATGGGTTAAAATATACTTGCCCATGCCCTCACTGTACGCTTTATAAAAATAACTCCACTGGGCAGAATCCTTGAGAAGCTAATAATTGTCGAACTGCTACAGAAATTTCACACCTTTTGTGTAACTTAACCTTTCATTATTGTATTCACAATAGCTAGTGTCATTCTCACCTTATGAGACAGCACATCAGTCTATATGTGGTAAATGTGTACATGTATTTTATATAGCAGTTAATTTACTTCACTTTCACATTCATTTACTGCTACAAAGTGAAGTTCTACTCCATTCAGTTCTTTATGTTCATTTGAATTACTGGCACTGGAATCTTCTCCCAGAATTAGTTACAAAACATTCCAACATTTCACCAGTGGCTGCCCAATCTTACCACATTATCAAATGAAATACTTCCTTTACTAGTTTCTTAACATCATTAACAATGAAGGTCATATCTCTGTGATAAAATCTTTCATAGTCCCCACATCATATCAAGAGGGTTAAGGTTGGGAAGGGGTGGAAGAGGAATGGTCATGTCTTCTAGTAATAAATACATTCTGCATGTTTTGTTTCAGAAATCAAACTAGTGAGTTAAGTTCTTATTATACTGTTTATAAAAAGAAATGTTTGTTTAACCATTCAACATAATTTTTAAGTGATGATGTTGGCAATGGGTTAAGCTACATATTTTAACAGGAACCAGATGGCATTCAGAGGCAGGTTACAAATTAACCTTTAATCCATTTCTCATAAATAATGTAACTCATGTAATAATAATCTGTTTTTTTTAAGACTTGAACATGGGAACATATGGAATTAAATCCTCCTCACCACCTGCACAGACAAAAATCACTCAAAATTTCCTATGTAAGTAGTGTCTTTAATTCTCTTCCTTGAATGTCCGTGTGAGTTCATGACTCACTGTACAATGTCATGAAGGTTCATCCAAATAAACAACCGGCCCACATTGCTCTCTCTAAATTATTACACTTCAACAATATGCCAACCTACAGATTCTAATCTCACATGTTTGGCTAATATTTTTCAATTACTGATGGCCTGATTCCATTCAAACCCCACGTAAAAAAGAATTTAATGTACAAATGAAACAGAAAAATCAAAATTAATGTCAGGCTTTATAATCTCAATTCTCTACTGCGTAAGTCACATCTTTTCTGGAATGTTAAAACTTGTGTACCATGCATCAAATAACTCTTTTTCCAAAACCATACATGTCAGTTTTCTTCTTAAGTGGCCTTTTCATTTCAGAGTTCAAGAGAACTCAAAAGTCATCAATTTTCTTATCAATTCTGCACAGTTCTTCGGACAATGCTAAAAGTCATACTAAAAGCCCAAGAAACATCTAGTTTTCTAAGACTTCACTTTCAGCCTTCACTTTCGTGACAATGTCCATACACAAAAAAAAAAAAAAAACATTAGAAATGAGCAGCCTACTCTTCATTTTTATCATTTACTAATGTACAACGTGATCAGACAGAAAAGAGTCTGTGGTTTTGAGTACCACTACATAAGATGAGGAATGACCTGAGTGTTAGTCACTCATGCATGTGCATTTTGTGTGGCTGCTCTATGCAGCCTAGGCCAGTCTTTGTCTCAGCGCAGCAGCTGTACCAAAGTATAAGATGATCTCCCCACCACACAGTAGCAGCATATTTAAAAAAATAATTTTATGACTTGGTAATTATGACTGCCCCTTGTTCTTTCCCCACCACCACACACATACACTGTACATGCAAGATGCAGCATAATCTACATACCTAACAACCAAAACTTAAAATTGGCATCATCTGTAGTTAGTATGAATGAAAGAATCTGCAGAGCACAAATCATTCTTCACATAATTTATTACTAACCATGTATTCCTAGTAACTGGGGAGAACTACCACAATCACTTTTAAAAATAAAACTTAAAAGAGTAATGCCAATTATATTTGAATGTTCACTACTAGTTCTAATACTGTACCTTGAATCAGTTCTCAACAATGATTACAAAGGGTCACTGTGCATCCACAAACTAAGCAACACCAAGCAATTGTGGCGTATCTTACACTTGCATATACTCTACCGTAATGTAAGACTGCTATTTCTGCAGCCACTGAGCTGCTTCTAGCACCATTCTCTTCAGTTAAGTGGAAGGAAAGATGTTGGGAATATTACATAATGTCTAATGGCCATTGCATCATTACAAAATGTACATCAAAAGCAGAACCATTAGGGCAAATCTATGGCTCCAAAAATAAATGGAAAAAGCAGTGGTAACGAGGAACCTACTACAACAAACAGGCAAATTTTCCTGACACTGTTTAATGTTTAAAGTTTTTTCATACGATTTGCTTCTCCTTCATCTTATAGTCAGGTGAATGAAACGTGCAGATACATTCAACAAAAAGAGTAATAAATCATTAAACCAGTATAAATGAAAATAAAGAACACAGTCTTGGTGATAATAAGATATACTAGAAAGTTTATTAACATTGCTTGAGAGTAATAAATCATTAAACCAGTATAAATGAAAATAAAGAACACAGTCTTGGTGATAATAAGATATACTAGAAAGTTTATTAACATTGCTTGAGAGTAATAAATCATTAAACCAGTATAAATGAAAATAAAGAACACAGTCTTGGTGATAATAAGATATACTAGAAAGTTTATTAACATTGCTTGAGAAGTATATAAAATCATAAACCAATGTCTTCACTCTTAGGTCATTGGGAAAGTCTGCTGTTATGTGTCTGTCCTGTAATAAATGTGTCAAAATGATGATCAGTTTAACCCCCTCAATTCCAAAATTAAATACAAGGAATTCAATGATAACACATGTTTCATAA